GTATACCAGTTATGATTCTCGTGGAATCTGACCTGAAAAAAAGGGGTGGGGGTACCGCCGAGGGAATTGGTAGTAAGTAAACTGAATCACATGGAGCCCATTTATCGATCCAAGATGATAGATGCCACACCGCTGAATTGCAACGCAAGCTGGACTCTCCAAAGAACCATAATGAAAATTAATGGAGAAATGTCAGGGAAGTTTGCCTCACCCAATAAAAATGGAAAAAGATTTCCAATTCATTAGAAGACATTAGTCAATTTGTTAACTAATTATTTTTTTGTGAAATACCTACTTGCCGATTTTAATAAACATAAGGTACACTAATCTGTACGTTATTGTTTTTGTTGTGGTCCTGCAGAATTCGAACGTTTTATTTCTGTAATGGTGCATATTGCGCCCATAGGCTAACGCGGTTCTCATATTATGTGTCTTTTCCATCCTTTTATGGAGAACCGCTTTCAAAGTGTTAGGTATATCTATACCTGTTGTTCAAATCTATGAATATAGAATAATTAAAGGTTCAAATAGTATTATACATACACCTAAGTAATATATGTTATAGGATCATACACCTACTTTGGCCAATGGTCGCAAAATGTAGTCAAATCGCGTTCTGGCCATGGCCACCAACATATTTGCCATTGACCGAAAAACCGCCCTCCGCGGTTGTTTTAACGATATCTCAGAATGCGTTTTGGATCTTTTGCAATGGCATCAGAATGCGTAGCTATCTACCTAATGGCATTTGTCATATTGTCAGAACGCATCGAGTACACAAACAAAAAGGCGCAATAACCGATTCTGGCATTGTTTAAGGAGCCAGACCGCGTTTTGGCCATATCTTTTGACCATTGGTATTTGACTGGGACCACCATTAGCTGTCATAAGACTCCGCCCAAACTTGTGAAAAAGATATGGCGACAAAATTGATATGTGCCTATGATAGTGACACTTATGTCTGTGCTTATGCTGTGCTGGAAAATGTTACTTTTTTTGTGCCCTACAAACAAGAAAGAAAGACCAACGTGTTGGGAGGGGTTTATAGAACAAGTTAACCTGGTACATTCCATAATGACTAACCGGATTTACGTTTCTAATAAAGTCACCAGCATAAAAGTTTTGAAAGTTCATGCGGGTGGGATTATTTGAGTAGTCTTGTTTGATACCCGCCCACTAGTTAAGGGGATATCAGCTCCACCTCTAACTTGCATGCTACACCATTGGCAAAAGTAATGATCGAGGAATAGTTAAACCCTGCCGCATAGGCAACCAACATGACTCCAACTTTGCGCATCTTACTTGGTCGGTTTCTTCAAGGAGGCCGGAGGGGGTATTTCATTTCCAAGAAGCCCCTCAAACGTATACACCGTATTGGTGAAAACGGAGCGACTCCTCCCAGTTAACAGGTAATTACAAATCAATTCGGTACAAAAGGTATGTAATTGTAATTACATGGTATATATAATTACTAATTATGTTATTATCAAAGAATATAACAAATATCATATCACTCTACTCCCGAATATCTTGTGGTTCACCAATTTGTGGAAGGAATTTCCTATATGCATGACGTATCGGTCACACAAAAGTACCCTATGGGTCTTGATGTACATAATACATGTACCTATACCCCTATACGTAGCATTAATATCACCATTGAATTTATAATTCAATGATATCACTTTATTTTAACCGTTTTAGGTTTCCGAGGAAAGGTAAATGCTGAGTGTGTAACTGACCAGAGCATTTCTGTTACTGAATTTATTATAATAATGCAACTGTAATGTACGTGCCTCTTCAATCATTGCTTTATTTGCACGACGACGCTGAATTTGATGGAGTATTGATATATATTTTTTCCAAGAGGGGGCGCAGCGTCCCGACCTGCATTGATTATGAAAATGTTTTATTTGGGATGAATTGAACTGGTTGTTTCTATACCTGCAGTCATCCCAATTAGAAAACGACATAAATTTGATGGTGAACTGACACACATTGAACTGTCCCTATGTCTATTTAAAAAAAACATGCAAACCTGTTTGACGATTGCAGCACTTTTCCATTTAACATGCACCACCTATATTGGAATAGATGATCTGTCAAAGAAGTTGAGGTAGCGCGTATGTGCTCTATTTTCCGTCGTCCGTCTGCCTATCTATCTGTCTACCTGTCTATCTGCCTACCTGTCTATCTGTCTGCCTGTCTGTTTGTCTATCTGTCTGTCTGTTCCATCGAGATCTCGGACTCTTTCGCTAATTAATAGCTGCTATGATCTATATTTACCCGTTACTCGTCATTTACATGTGTGTACGCGGCAACACCCACGAAGATTTTGAAACATTTTTTATACTTAATTAGAATAATTAGAATATTTATACATTTTTCTTGTACAGGGTGAACGAAAGCGGAGTGCAGTTGCGGCCCTGAGGTGCACGAAGGCAACTCGCTAAAAGAAGACGGAATTAAGTGTTTTTTGTTAACCGTGCGTCTCCAGCCACAATAAAAAAACAGAGGGGGATGGTGACCATAGCATTGAATATAAAAATGTCTGTGGTAAATTGCACTGGATTTGATGGAAGAATACATTTGCTTTGTTAGGTTGGTAACGGGCGATAAAAAATGAGTTGCTGTCGAGTCGCCTTTGGAAGTTCAAGTTAAGTACGATTTCCCATGTAAACAAAAATTCCAAAGGTGACTCGACAGCAACTCATTTTTGATCGCATTGTACTTATCTATGTAAAAGCTGTAATGCACATAGGTACAGAAAATTGTTCAAATTGTATTCTAGTTAATATGTATTACCTACTTACCAATACCGATTACTTTGTATGAATAAAATGTAAATATTATGTATTTATTTTGTCTAAATACCTTGGTAGATATGGTAATGAAGGTTAGTATGTGTAAACTGTCTATATAGTGGTAAGACGATTGAGGTGATGTATAGAAGATCGCACGACAACTACGACGAGTAAATTTTGATGCACATTTTTTCGTCACTTCTTCACATCTTATTGTTTGCAATTTACCCAGTAAATTACTCTCTCACCTTAAGGTACCAAGGGGAAACTAGGTAACGAGTCCCATTGAACCCAATGCGACTTTAACTATAGTTGGACCATATCGAAATCTCTCGTCCATTTTCCAGTTTACCATCAGACGTAAATCGCAGTCACTTTCTTAGCTATACGGGGTTCTTGGGTTGCTTAGTATATTGTTCCACATAAGCGCAGTATATATTGTTCTTGATGTTTGTGCACTAGCTATGAGCAGTGTCGACAATCCTCAGAACATGGTCTTCATGTATTTCTAACTATTTTGTCACTTGGCCTTCTGGTCTCTTCCCGCTGCACTTTTCAGGACCTCCCTCTTCCCGCCGCACTCTTCCCTTTGTAATTTTTTGCTGCACACTTCACGGAGGCACTCTTCCTCATGACTCTTCACGCTGAACTCTTCTCGATGCTATTCTATTATACTCTATTCGTAAGGGGAGCTCGACCAGCCAGCACTTGTGCACACCAAAGGTCTATTGAGCAGGTACTCCCTTTCCTTTCTTTCGCAACTAGATTCCAGGGACCCGGCCCCAAATGAAATATCGGTTCCGGTTCTGTTTATATTCAAGCGAAAATATTTATAACGGTTTCGATCCGGTTTCGGTTCTAAAAAGATATAACGGTTCGGTTCTGCGCTTTTTTTCGGTCCATAATGGTTATTTTCGGTTCTAGTTTTTCAGAAAGTATGACATTCAAAAAATTCATTAATAACAACGTAAAGAAAATTTCATGAATACCAAAACGTGACGTATCGTCAGTGCAGCTAATTTATAACAAAGGGAATAAAGGAGGAAGAGGGAAATATGAATTTACACTTGCTTTATTACTAAAAAACAGAAAATTTTATTTTTTAAAACCTCGCCCCTCCTTTTTTATTTTTTTTTAAGTAGTGGCTAAATTAGCGCCACCGCCATTACGATACCTTATTAAAAATTTCCACCGATGGCAATCATAGAGTAATATTTTATCAATTTTCAGGACGTGGTTGTCGGCGCGTCCTTCAACTTCCAATAACCTGTTAAGAACCGTAAAAAAACCGAAAAGAACAGAAAAAAGTAATCTGGGTTCCGGTTCTCAATACGTTTCCATTTCTGAAGGAATAAAGGTTTCGGTTCGGTTTTCGGTCCAGAAAAAAATACCGGTTTCGGTCCGGTTTTCGGTTCTTTTTCGGTCCGGCCCGGGTCCCTGCTAGATTCACAGACCGCTCCTTTCAATAAAGGATAAAACCCTGTTTAGCCTACGTTGCTTCACTCTCCCTGGTTTCAGATACCTGTCGTCAAGGCTGATGATGTCTGTCTCTGATAAAGGCATCGCCGTGACAGACCATATGGTCGTTAGTTTCATCTGCCTCGCCACAGAACCTGTACGTGGGCTCTCCTACAAGCCCAATGGTGTGCAGGTGATAGTTGACCATCCCCGTTAAGACAACGATGATCTTCCTAATTCAGTTTTAGCTTAGAAGCCCCAGATTTGCCATGGGCCATGTTAAGAAGGCCTTGAACTGTCTAGTTGCTTGTTAGCACTGAGTCTGAGATTACTTGGCCACCCAGCCCTTAATCCTGACAACGGAGGGAGCAATTCCTAGAGTAGGCTCAAGCCCGACGAAGACCCCACCACTACCTTTGTTTGTTTGTTTGAATTTCATGCAATTCGGTTCATAACTATAACGGAGATGTCAAAAGAGCTTCTTTTATTTTTTACTTAACTAGGTACACTACCAATTCACGAACTCCTTTCTACAAATTTGATAAAGAACCCACTTGTATTTTTCAGCGCCCTCTATTGATGGGTGAATTTCGCAAATTGAACCTGTAACGGCCGTAACATAGTCACAACGCATGTTGTGGCTATTGCTCCGCCACATGGAATAAAATAAATCTTATTTTGTGGATGTAAAAATCATGATTTCCATCATATATCTTCTCTTATATATATGATTTCCATGTTAATAATTATTCCATTATCTTGAGTTATTGACCTGAAGTAAAATTCCCTATCAAATAATTTGCATTACAGAAATGAATGTTTGCCACAACATCCATGAACTTAGCGGCTCTTGAGTTAACCCGTTAATTGTACCTAGTAAGATAGGGTTATGTGTATTTTATTATTAATATTATAATTTTAATGTATTTGAACTTATAAAGGAAGGTGATAGATAAAAAAATTAACGGTTCATTAGCAAGTAACCTCAATTTCGTTCGAAAATGTTGTCGTCGGCTTCAGGAGTAATGTCCAATAATGGATCATATAAAAATGATTGGGGCCCTACTGGAACCGAACCTGAATACGCAATCGATCCTGCTTCTGGGGGTTTCTTTCATTCAGACTATAAAAAGTAAGTGACAATTCGATTAGGGCTGAATTTCACCCTGTCTGCTTCTTCATTTGTTTTTCTACTGTTTCTGATCATTTTGATGCTTGTCAGTCCATTTTCTTGTATTTTCATATTTACAAAATGAATAGTGAAGAGACTTCATTTATTAAACTTTTCAAACGTGCTCACAGGCACGACGATTTAAAGGAAATGCTGGATTCGAATAAGGACAGTTTAAAGCTGGAGGCGATGAAAAGGATTATTGGGGTTAGTATCGCACATATTACTGCCACAAGTGCAATTATTGTTATTTTAGATGGTCGCAAAAGGAAGAGATGCATCTGATCTGTTTCCTGCTGTCGTTAAAAATGTGGTGTCTAAAAACATTGAGGTGAAGAAGTTAGTTTACGTCTATTTGGTGCGTTACGCCGAGGAACAACAAGATTTAGCATTGCTCTCAATTTCGACATTTCAAAGAGCATTAAAGGTGGGTGAAGTTACGTCTTATCGATGCCCTTAATCGGATTTGTTTAAGGAACCTAACCAGTTAATAAGAGCGGGAGCATTGCGCGTGCTGTCAAGTATCCGCGTCTCAATGATCGTTCCGATTGTGATGTTAGCTATCAAAGATGCAGCGGCAGATATGTCACCTTATGTTCGAAAAACTGCAGCTCACGCGATCCCTAAATTATACAGGTGAATTCAACACTCGACTTCATTTTGTTAACGAACATATTTTTAGTTTGGATCCAGAACAGAAGCCAGAATTGATAATGGTAATACAGAAATTATTGGCCGATAGGACTGTTTTGGTCGTCGGCTCTGCTGTAATGGCGTTCACCGAAGTTTGTCCCGAACGCGTGGATTTGATTCATCAGGTCTTTCGTAAACTATGCGCTTTATTGGTCGACGTGGACGAGTGGGGTCAAGTTGTCATTATTAATATGTTGACGAGATACGCGCGTACTCAATTTATCAACCCTAACCTGCATGTAAGTTGACCATTATTTGCTATGGCAAATGGCAAATTAGTTTTCTGCTTATTGCTTGTTGTTAATCGGAAATGTAGAAGGCCATGTTGACCTTTTGAAAACCTGAGGTTTGAGTCCTAGTAGTTTCAACTTTTTTCTCAAGGCACTCACATCTGAAATTTAGGACTTCTGTACCTAATAATGTTAAAGGTGCCTGCTAAAGTCACGGTGAGTCAGTACAATCATAGGAAATTAGTCTGCGTTTGCAGCATAAAATAAGAACAGCTGATTTCATTGACACCATTTACTCTCGCACTTACTGCCTAATTAAACTTAAGAAATGTACATTAGGAAGGATCGTGGTTGGTTGGTGTTGCCACTTTTCCTTCTTTCACAGCCACTGGATTCTAGGGCTCCCCCATAGCAGGTTGCCTGTATTGAGCAGCAGATGAGTGCTGTTCCACTGAGAGTGCTGGTTCGAGACGGTTCATGGAGGGAGTAGGCAAATCAGCTATACTCTTCGTAATTCCTGTTGATGCTCTATTGGTATTACACAGTTCAGTACACTGTATACCAACACAAAGGTGCACACTGTCTTGCAAGCTCACCAGGAAGATGAGTTGAGGGGGAAAAAGCTTCTAAACTACAGCATTGTGGTTTCCAAATTATCTACCTTGATGTGTAATTATGGTCTACTGTACAGGGTGTCTAACAATGATCCAGTTATGCAACCAATGGGAATCAATTTCTGAAAAATTGTACAGGGTGTCCCATTATTGCCACTTATATTGAATTTCATTTGAAAATGTTTGTTTACTTAAGACATACAGGGGAAAATTGTCAATTTCAGAATGACCCTGTAGTTAAAAAAGACACAGAAAAATGTTTTATGCAAAAAAATCTTTGTAATGATTTTTGAATAATTTGCCGCTTTCAGAACAAGTACACTGAGTCTGGTAAAAAAGTTATCGGACCTAACCTCATTTTTAAAAATGGAATACCCTGTAACTTTTAATCTAAAAAAATAGCATATAAAATTCATTTCAAAAATATAAAAAAATTAAAATAAAATTCAAAAAGATTATTAAACATTTTTTTAAATCTTTTTGAAATCACTTGAACCTTTTTTGAATATTATATCTATGATGTGTTATGTATATTAAAAAAAAAGTTAGGTTAAATCTCATAACTTTTTTACCTGACCCCGTTAGATTATTCAATGATGTGCTGAGTCGATTATTATGCAACCAATGGGAAACGATTTTTGAAATATTGTACAGTGTGTCCTATTTTAGACACTTATATTGTATCTCCGAAATTGTTAGTGATATAAAAAAAGTAATATAGGGATCATGTGCTTTTTTGGGACAAATTTAAAATGGTAAAATCAAAATTTGAAAATGACCGTGTACTTAAGAGATACAGGAGGAAATAAAAAAATGTCAAGTTCAGAATGATCCGAACTATAGTAAAAGAACACAAGTTTCTTTATAATAATTGTTGAATAGTTTACAGTTTTCAGAATAAGTAAGTATACGGGGTCAGGTAAAAAAGTTACCGAGCTTAACCTCATTTTTTTAAATGGCGTACCCTGTAGGTTTTAATCTAAAAAAAATAGCATATTAAACACAAAAAAGAAAAATTTCAAAAAGGTCAAAAAGTTTTTAAATCTTTAATATTTTTTTAAAATCATATGAACCTTTTTTAATTTTGTTTTATCTTTTTTGGGAAAAATAAAAAAATTGTGATTTTCAGAATGGCTCTATATTTTCTTAGTACCGAAAAATGTTTGTTACAAAAGTTCCTTTATAATAATTGATGAATTATCTGCCGTTTTCAGAATAATTATACGAGATCAGGTGAAAAGGTTATCAAACCTAACCTAATTTTAGGTAGGTCTAATAGAATGCAAACCGAAAATCGAACATCCTCTAGCGGTTAATGAAATCTACTTACACTTGATCGGGCGAGTCGAAAGGGAGTAGAACAGCTTGTATATTTTATTAAAATTGCATAATAATTCTCTTTTTAAAATACACTAAAAAAATTAATTCAAAAAGATTCAAGGACAATTAAAAAAAATTTCAAAATTCTTTTTTTAATTTTTTTAAATACCGCAGCTGATGGAAAGTTTATAAAAGATGCATTCAGCGGTACCGCGAAATCAACCCACCTGTAACTGAGATATCTCTGTTACAGGTGGTCCGATATAATCTCAAGAACTAAAGGGATCTGAACATAATAATATTAATAAACTGTACAAAAAACAGTTGTATTCCTTTTTGTACATGGTTCAACAGCACCACAACTTTCAACGAATTTCATCGAACCTTCCGTATGTCCGTTCATATGTGCGTCCATGATGTCCACTTGGTTTTGAACTATTTTTAGAGCGATTGTTCTACAATATTGAATTTTGTTGCAACAGATGCCTTGTTGTTTGAAGATTCGCCACAGGGCCATCTTGAAATTGTTATGCGCTTTGGGTCAAACTTACAATAGTAAAATTAAAATTTGAAAATATTCTCTCGCTTAAGAGATGGGAAAATTAAAAAAAGTGTCAATTCCAGAATAACCCTATATTTTCTTAGTTAAAAGATATACAGAAAAATATATATTACAAAGGTTCCTTTATAATGATTTTTAAACAATCTGCCGTTTTCAGCATCAGTGTATGGCGTTAGGTAAAAAGATTTTTCGAACCTATAATAATTTTTTTTAATATAACAATAGTCTGTATATTTTGTTCTAAAAAGGTAGCATATTAAGTTCGATTTTTAAAAATACACTAAAAAAATTTAATATTTATTTAAAAAGATTTAAGAAAGTTTTAAACAAATTTTGAAATTCAAAAATCTTTTTTTAAATTATACTGAACTTTTTTGAATTATTTGAACCGTTTTTTTATATTTTAAATCTTCTGAATCTGTAATTTTTTTGGAATCCTTGAATTTTTTAAAAGCGAATTTAATATGCTATTTTTTAAATTAAAATATACAGGCTGTTGTATTGAAAAAAAAATGGGTTAGGTCCGATAACCTTTTTACCGGACCCCATACACAAATTTTGAAAACGACAGGTATGGGAGAAAATATAAAATCATTCATTTCAGAATGACTATATTCTTTTAGTTAAAAGAGCGACCGAAAAATGTTTGTTACAAAAGTTTCATTATAATAATTGTTGAATTAATTATCTGTTGTTTTCGGAATAAGTATACAGGTCAGGTAAAAAGGTTATCGAACCTAACCCTTTTAGCGCATTTCCACAAAAATAAAAAAAAAACGTGCTATTGTGGCCACTTTGTCCGTCCGTCCGGCTGTCCGTCCGCTCGTTTTGAGACGCTACTAGTTCTTTGTCTTAAGAGCTATTGTTCTACTTTTTTCGCTATGTGGTTCGTTATGATGTCGAGGCTTGCACCAAGGAAGGAATTTTTTCTGCGTTTATTGCTGAAAAAGTTATTGTAAAGAAACCAACAAACCATTTTTTACATGTTCCATAATTTTACACTTTTGCCGTTTATTAACGATCCTAGAGATCGTTTATAATTTTATATTGCTTTCTGTCGCCTGTCTGTTGGTCTGTCCGGCTGTTCCTTTGTCTGTCTGTCGCTCTATCTGTCCGTGTGAACGATAACTTTGTTTAGAAATGTCCGATCGCTTTTACATTTCCATTTGGTAGTTATTAACTGAATTGCATGAAATTCAATATGGGCATAGCTTTAGCCATATAATACGCAATGCCCAAAGTTGAATCGAATCGATTCAAAATTCACAGTGCCCTTTTCGTATCTCGACCATTTATAAACCGAATTGCAAACTTTTTTATTTATAAAAGTATTTGAATGAAATTTGATACATAGGCACTTGGAATAAAGGAAAATCAAACGCCAATTTCAAAATTTGGTTTTGCGCATGCGCAGTGCCAACTTTTTTATTTATGGAAGCATTTAAATGAAATTTGATACATAGGTGCTTGGAATAAAGGAAAATCTAGCGCCAGTTTCAAAATTTTATTTTGCGCATGCGCAGTGCCAACTTTTTTATTTATGGAAGCATTTAAGTGAAATTTGATACTTAGGCGCTTGGAACAAAGGAAAATCTAACATTAGTTTCAAAATTTAGGTTTGCGCATGCGCAGTTCCAACTTTCTTATATAGAAAAGCATTGAAATAAAATTCTTCTTATAAACTGAAATTAAAGTAGCACGTCAAAAATGGATTGCCCATGTGCAACGCTATCTTTCATATTTGTGGCCGGATTTTTACGATTTTAACAAAAGTTGCATCTTACAAATGGGAAATGAATGCAAGTGGAAATGCGCTTTATGTAAATCGTTTACGATTACTTTTTAACTTGTTTTATAAGTAGAACTGCTTGTATAGTTTATTCTAAACAGATAGCATATTAATTCTCTGCACGACTCATTCTAAAATATTAATTTGCCCTCCTCTTGTCTGGCAAGAGAGTTTTCGGCGGCTGTAAAAACAATTTAAATACTCGTACCATCCATGCAAATCACGATTTAACCTTCCATCTCTGATAATGGTGTGGAACATTCGCTAACGTAACGTAAATTATCAGAGACGCCTGCACAGAATTTTGCTTTTACCTTTAAATAGAATTTGATCTATGTAAATAAGGAAAATAATGCTGACTAGGTCATGGAAGAAGTAATATAATGCGTCTCGTGTTTCGAATACATACGATTAAGGCTTCCGATAATGGGCTTCATACCTTCTTTACGGAACTAAATAGGTGGTTACCAACTCTTCCAATTACGGTGTCTGGCTTATCTTTACTCGCGTGTTTAAAACTTCCGCTATTGTTCGTATTTACCGTAATAGTTTCTAATTCGCAAATTATCCCTTGTAATTGACGGTTCCCAAAACTTTCACGCATTTAAACTTTACGTTTTGCAAGTACTTAATTTAACTTCGCTAACGTATTAGCACAAAATTATAACGACGACTGCAATAAAAATAAATTTCAAACGCATTTAAAAAGTCAGTCGCCTCCTATGATTTTTTGTAGTACTTGCATCTACATGCGGTGTTAGGAGGGGGAACTGAGACATACTAACAAAATTTTTTGTTTTATTGTTTTAGGAGAAACACAGCGAACCGGACAAGGCCTTTTACGATTCTGGTTCAGATACATCGGAAAAACCGACAACCGCATCGCTGGACCCGGACCATCGCCTATTACTACGGTCGACGCGCCCTCTTTTTCAATCTCGGAACGCCGCCGTAGTAATGGGCGTCGCGCAATTGTACCATCATTGCGCTTCGAAAAGCGAAGGTCCAATATTAGCCAAGGCGTTAGTTCGGCTTCTCCGTTCGTACTCCGAGGTGCAAAGTATCGTACTCGATAATATAGTTTCGATAAGTTGCCAGAATAGGATGACGTTTCAACCGTATCTAAAAAGTTTTTTTATAAGAACGTCCGATCCGACGAAGGTGAAATTGTTGAAGTTGGATATTTTGACAAACTTGGCAACCGCGTCGAACGTTTCGATTATTTTGCGAGAACTTCAAACGTACATATCTAGTAGCGACAAGCAATTCGTCGCCGCTACTATTCAAGCTATTGGTAGATGCGCATCTTCGATTTCTGAAATTACAGATTCGTGCCTTAATGGATTAATTTGTCTTTTATCGAATAAAGATGGTAAGTTTGTGCTTTCGTTTCCGCGCAAATAAATTGGTTTGTTTTGTAGAGGCAATAGTGGCAGAGAGTGTTATAGTTATCAAAAGACTATTGCAAACACAAGCAGCTGATCCAAAGGAAATCATAATACACATGACCCGATTATTAGATAGTATAACGGTTGCTCAAGCGAGAGCGGCAATTTTATGGTTACTAGGCGAACATTGCGGTGGAGTCCCACAAATTGCTCCGGATGTGCTTCGAAAGTTAGCCAAAAGTTTTCCAGACGAGGTAGGTTTTTAGTATCATATTGTCCTCTGTAGAGTGACTTGTGGGTTGAGCATATTATTTTTTTTAGGCGAGGGTTTTAAAAATGCTTTTTTCAGTTTATTTTTTGTATTTTTATTTAATTTGCTATAATTTATTTCTAGTTGATTTATTGTTATACGCTCAAGTGTCGGAAGCAATTTTAATTTTATTAACTGAAAAATATTCGCTTACACCACCAGGGAGTGCAGGTTTGTATGTCCCTATCTTTTCTTTTTGCTCTTCATTTTACACTTCTCTTGCACTCCACATTTCGGTTAGTGCTTGGTTATTTGTACAGTTTTATTTCATTTCTTACTACCCTATATTCAGTCTTTGTTTTTTTTTCATTCATTTTAGGACTAAGAAAATGACAATCACATCGGCGTTGGGCGCTTCGGTGTAGGCGGCAACTATTGTGGCTTCTTTATATTTCAGCGTTAGGAATTTCTCTTAAAAATAAATTTCTTATAGATCACCTAAACAAAGTACTTTTCAAATTATCCGTTTTTCAAAATGTACCCCTATACAAATGAAATTGCGTTATTTTGAAAAATTAAATATGTAAATAAAATGGATAGTAAAGGGGGTCCAAAATGTTTTATTTCTTTAATTTTTGACTCTCAAACCATAACGGATAGAAGGGTGGAACTAGCGACTGTACTTTTTACTTTTTTGGTATTCACTTTCTCATTTTAGAAAATTTTTTTCTGAAATTCCTGCCACAAAATGACCATTGTTCTTGTTCTACAAAATAAATTTGTTTACAAAGGTAAATAATATATATGTATAAAATAATAAAAAACAAACCAACAAGATTAAAATTTGTATTTAAAAATTGTGTATGAAAGCTTTGTTATTTCTGTGGGCTATTTACTTAGAAAGCAGGGACTATAATAATTTGCTCCAGCTCTGGCATTTTTAGTTTATTTATTTTTTAAAACAAAACTTCGAAAAACTGCACGTTCAATAGTACTCATTAATCTAGTCACCCATGACCTAGGGCCTCCCTCTTACACAACCTGGTTCCAAAGCTGGAGAGTGGACTCGGGTTCGCCCCCTGATCGTACCAGACTAAACTGTTAAACAATCCCAAAGCTACTCAAAAACCCTTGTTCATTTATAATGTGATATAGTTTCTTTTTTTTTCTTCCTCTTCTTCCAATTTCGAATCTCCTTTCCTTGTATTTTCTAAGTTTTTCTTTCTTGTAATTCTTCGAAATTTTCCTCAAACCCCTCTCTTCATAAGTATCTCCAAATCTTCTGGTCGCTGCTAATTCTAATGCAGAGTTTCTCTTTAACGCTACTCCTAAATTCTCTCTGATCTGTACATCCAATGGCTGGTAGTGTTCCACCAGACTTTTCAGTGGGTGCAAATTTAGTTCTTCTACCCCCTCCACACTAAAATCCTTATTCGATAAATGCAATCTTCTTGCTTGGTCACTAAATTCGGATTGGATGCATTTCCTTATTTTTTTTCTTTCATATTCTTCTATTTCTTCCTTAAAATGTCGTAGTTGTTGGGTTTCTTTGATCTTTACTTGTGCTACTTCCACTCTCTCATCTTCTCCGAGTTGTTCTATTTCTGGTCTTTTGGATGAATGAATTTTGATCTAGTAGCCCAATCTTCAAACTGTTTGAAATTATGGATTCTACGGGCCAAATTCTATAAGAAAATGTTTTTTTCCCGGGCGATCTCAGACAATTTTTTTTCCGGCCTCAAAAAAAGCAAGTGTATAACCTTCGTTTTTTACCAAAAATCGACTATTCCAAAATGATTCGGGAAAACACCCTTATAAATTTTGGTGCGTAGAATCCAAAACGATTCGTACTTTTTCGATTAGACCTCTCAATCAAAAGTTATGGACAAAAAACCAATTTCGAAAAAAAAATTCAAATGGGTGTAACTTTTGATCTAGTAGCCCAATCTTCAAACTGTTTGAAATTATGGATTCTATGGGCCAAATTCTATAAGAAAATGTTTTTTCCCGGTCGATCTCAGACAATTTTGTTTTCCGCATCACCAAGGCCAGTAAATGATCTACAGTTTTACAGAACGATTCGTTTTATGGCGCATACTTCGAGTATTTTTGTTTTTTTGCTTGTTTTGTTTACAGGGTTAACAACCACATTTAAATGCATATACAAGTCGTTCTTTTTCCGTTTCAAAAATTACAAATTTTTAAAGAAACTTAACAATCCCTTTATTGCGAGAACTATAATATATGGTTCACTTCAAATATTTTGGGTCCCTTGTCTGATTTTATTTACAAGGTCCATAAGACACTTTTTTAATGCACATTGAAAGGACCGAAGTCCTCACTTGCATGAAATAAAATTGAACCCCTACGGCACTAACAAAAATGTTTAATCTGAACATTAATTAATGGTCGCAATTATGCGAAAATAAGTTGTTACACTTATGAAATAAGTTTCGCTCCAATCGATTTATTATGATTTACCAAATAATCGGTCACACTCTTTCGTGGTTACAATTAAGACTAACTTATAGTTTTACACACTCTTTCGATCCTGCTACCCAGACGGGTTTCCTTATTTCATAGAACATTTAGTTAAAACAAAGACAGTAAATAATCCCTTATGTCAGTAATTCTAATTAAATTACCCTTAACGAAAAATATAAAAAACGAGAATAGATCCTTTGTTAACTACTTACAGTTTCTTAACTGCTATTTATTACCTATACTAAATATGCTTATTTATATTAGGGGGTCCCAGACTAGTAATATAGTCTAATATCGTCTTCCGAAAAAACCTCCCTTACACGACCTAGCCAACGTGTTATCTCGAAAATGCACACCTTGTTATCGCTCTTATTTCCATACATACTTTCGTTCATGTTCGGTGTGAAGCAGTATATGTGTAAATTTTCCTATTTGGAATAAAATACAAATTCGAAATCAAATTTTTGAAATGGAGTGAGCCACTCGTTACAGCATAAAAGTATAGCCCTTGCTTATTTAAACAAAAATACAAGGTTTTACGATATTTATGACGTCTATTGCGAGGGCTGAAATTTTTATGGTACTGCAAACATTTTTCTTTCTTGTCCAATTGTAATTTGTATGTAATATCTTGAGCATTTTGTATTTTGTAAAAGAACAATTAAAACCATTAACCGGAAGGGCTTCCAGGAAGGGCACGACCACGTTCTCGGCGAGGCTGAACCCCGTCTGCCTCCCCCTTCCCTCGCCTACGGACTTGCCGCAGACTAAAACACGCAAGAAAATTATTACGCATTTATGTCCCAATTCTTTTGAAATTTTAACTGAAAACAAATTGAAAGTATACGTTAAAGAATGGATTGCGCATGGATAACCAAATATTCAATTTTTTTAAATTTGACCACCATAATACTGCGCATGTGCTACTGTAGCAAACTTCGTAACTCCGTTAATAAGCAAGCTAGCAATAGTGTCAGTTTTATTTAAACACACTGTGCCCGTGTATAGATACTGGAATTTTGGTGCTTAATTATAACCAATTTAATATAGCACACGCTAATTTTTGCACTCTCTCTTCATCTCTGTTTCGACTCATTACATATTTCTGCACAGGAGTACATACTAACTCACTTCTTGAGCTGTTGTAAGTGTGTTGCAACTTTCTCCATTTTGTTTTTAATTAATTCACAAAATTGGGAGGAAATCCATTTTGTTTTCGGTGCGATCACAAACTTTACTTATGGTATTTGACCGTAGTAACCATAAACTTTTCTTACATTTTTAGCACGATATAGTAAAGTTGCAAGTACTCAATTTAGCGGTTAAGCTTTATCTCAAGAATCCCTCCGAAACTGGACTGCTCTGTCAGTACGTCTTTAATTTAGCTAGATATGATCAAAATTACGATATTCGAGACCGAGCGAGATTACTAAAACAGTTTACCATTAATCAAGAGGGTAAAATAATGTCGCAAATTGGCGAAATTTTTCTCGCGACCAAACCCGCCCCTTTGCTCCAATCGCAATTTCAAGGTAAGGAATTCCAGGTTGACTGTCTGCGATAATGCTCGACTTATAGGGAGGGATCAGTTACAGTTGGGCTCTCTATCGCATTACATTAACGGGCGAGCTTTAGGTTATGAACCATTGCCTTCATTTCCGGAATACCCGCCGCCTAGTGCCGTTCGCGATGTCGACTCGTTCATCACAGCGCAAGAAGTAAAAACAACAAAATCGGTAAGTTCACACATTTTCCATCATCTTATAAAACTAAACCGTTAGGAAAAGAGTAAACGAGAACTGTTCCTGTGGGAGTCTGAAATTAGTTCGTCCCCAAGCTCTAGTTCTGATGATAGCTCGTCATCTTCCGAAGGTAGTTCTAGCGAAGAGGTATCATCTTCAGATCTGGAAAACCACAATTCCGAATCTGGTAAACGTAATAGGTGGGTACATTAACCTTTTGTAACCAATCTGTAATGGACGACATATTTAAGGAAAAAGACTCAAAGTTCCAGTAGCGTATCAGAAAGTTCATCTGAAAGTGAGGATGAGAGCAGTAGCAACGCTAACGAAGTTGAGGTGACAGCAAAACCAGAACCACCGCAGCAGGTTAAAGAAAAATCAAACTTAGATCTGTTACTTGATTTGGGAGACATTCCCATCACTCCAATAATGACTCCGTCACTAGGAGGATTCTTAACACCTCTTGAAACTCCTTTAATTCAAACCATTCCACCTAATTATGTCTCCCAAAAGGAGTTCGAATTGTTAAATAAAATAAATGGGAGAGGCTTAAGTGTTATGTACAGATACACACGAAGTCCTCATTTATTTTCACCAACGATGGTTAATATTGGCTTGGTTTTTGCGAATAACACAAATGCGGATATATCCAACATTCGTTTGGGGAAAAAGGTAACGTTTCGTACGGAGGAGAAAACACATGCTCAAGATTTTGTTTCAGACATTGTTCGCGGGTATGGCTGTTCACGAATTTATGCCCATAGCTATACTAAATCCACACACCAACTTAGCAGGTAGCTTAGGTGTTGACTTCAACGATTCCACAAATCCAGCTAGTCTGGAGATAGTGTCTTCCATAGGTATATAAGTAGAGTAGTCTGAAATCGTAGTCACATGATATTTGTAGGTGTAGCAAATGTGTGCATTAAACCAAATATAGGCGAATTGATGCGACCGGTAACAATGCCGGAGGACGTTTTCGTTACTGAACAATCTCGGTTGAAAGGTATGAACGAAAACATTGCTTACATACCAAAGGTACCATGGAACAGAGTATCTGAAGTGATATTTCAAATGGCAAATGTCTCATCTTGCCCGAGTCAAAACGAGAACATATTAAGGTAAATGTACAGTGTTACTAACCGCACTATTAATGAGTTTTTACAGATTTGCCGGTCAAACTCTAAGTTCTTCATTACTGGTTCTAATAACTACAAGTTTGAAAGACGAACAAATTTGTGTTACAGTCAACTGTGAGAAGATTGTCATTGGATCTATGCTGCTCAATGAACTAAAAGTTGCTATAAAATGAATTCCATTAATTTGTTTCATTTACTTTTGTATATCAGTTGTATATTTTTTTTTCCAACAAGTTGCTGTGACATAATTTTTACTATAATCATCCTATTGCCCAAAATACTTTACGCTAAAGTTGTAACTTTCCATTGTTATTTATAAATACATGACTTGTTTAAATTAAAATTACTATTCTAACGATATGTGCTAATACTAATTATACATTTTTTAATTCCAATGGTGAAATATATTCTACCGTTTACCCAACTTTAGGCACTGATGAGTAACTTACACAACAGTACATTCATGGACAGTAAGTACGTGGTTTCAATTCGAGGACCGAAATACTTCAGTAATCTAGGCAGACATGTTTCCTCCTCTATTAACAATCCTCGAGATCGTTTATAATTTTGGGTTGTTGTCTGTGTGCGTGATGACTTTGTTTATCAATGTTGGATTGCATAAAAAAATTGGTTCCTGTACAAAAAAATTGTTTTTTGAGTCCGTATATTACAGGGCGGTCTGAAAAAGCAAAAAAAATTTGTCAAAAAAAGTTGCAAGGGTAATTTGCGTGGCTAATTTTTTCAGGTAATTTGTTGGCCAAGTTCTTTTCACATTTTCCATTCTGACTCGCACAAACTATTTTGTAAAGGTATTGCTTAAGTAGATCCTTTTCGTCAAATTCGAGCAACACTGTCAATCTGTTCAAGATCAGACTTGTTTTCACAGTCATTTAGTAATGTAATGAATATATACAGGGCGCCATCAGAAAGTGACTTATGGTCTTCTTGTGTGACCGTCAATTTCTTGCAGCAAACGGCGTAGCGGTAACTCATTAGTGTGAAATAGGCAAATATACCACTGAAGGGGTTTACTTTTAATTCAATTGTGCATATTGCTCATCCCTTCCACCCTGTGTTATCGAAAGTTAGGGTTGCCACCTGTTCTTATTTGGTAAGGACAATCCTTGTTTTACTTACCTACCTATTATGTCCTACTGTCCGTATTTTATCATGCTTATATTTTCAGGTTTTCGCGACCTTCGCGCCATGTTGATATTTTTACAATTATGATAGACTTGAAGAGCAAAATGTTATCGACAATAGAAAATCAGAAACGTCGTAATACCTGCTAAAGGAAACGAAAAATTACATATAGGTAAACAAGTATAAAAGTTTAAAAATCGTTTATACTTTATTTCTTGATTTGAACGCTCAGTACTTTATTTTTTAATTTGAAAAATTTGCAAAAGAGAAGGCGAGCGTTCATTTAGGCTCTGTAGAGGAAAAACCTTTTGAAATCGACTCTGAGCCAAGATCATTTTTTTTAGATGAGGTTTCAACGGCTAATCAAGATCAGTCTCCGCACATTAGCTCTTGAATCTCAGCTTGGTAGAGAAATTAATTTTGATGAAGCAATATCAACTTAGTAATTTATTATGAAAATTATTCAAATAAATGTTCTCCTTTTGAATCCAAGAAGTAAAGAATGAAAATGTCTAGTTTCGAAAAAAGGAGTTGCCATTATATATGGGCGGGGTCATCAAATATGTTCCCGGGGCCCGTGGAGGCTAACGGCGGCCCTGAACGAAGGCATAAAATACAGTAACAATAAATAATTGCAAATAATACAAGGTGCTCTGAGCGACAGTTCAGCATTGTGAGAAGAAAACAATTACCAAAGTCCTCGTGTGAGTAGGGAATGCAATCCCGCAGCAAAATCTCGGTATTTGCGGGATTGTTAGATGTTAATCCCGCGGGATCTCGGTACCTATATGCGGGATCCCGCAAAACTTTAAATAAATTGGCAAATAAGCAATTCTGTGCGGTTAACTTTTGTATTAAAATACATCGCTAATTATCACAATATTTAACAAAAAAGTATCTTCGGCCTAACTTAGAACTCAAAAAACCTCACCTGTAAACCACAAAAAGGTGAACTTCTAAAGTGCCTCAAAAATCATAGTACATTTTTAACGAAAAAATTGTAACAATTATTTAAAAAATAACTTCTCCGTTATTCGTTTTCATTAACAAAGTAAACAGAGTCGTCCCTTTAGCCGACAAATTCCTCAATCCCGCGGGATCCCGTTCCATTTATGTGCGTTGCGGGAATCCGGTATTTTGGGATCCCGCAATCCCGGTATTGCATCCCTATGTGAGATCGAACGGACTTCAGCGCATTTTTGTGTGGCCGATCGGTATTCTATTAGTCAGTTTTGATTCCACCATCAGTAAGATCCTGTCGGGGACTACCCCATTTTCTCCGTCGGTGCCCACTGTCGACGTCCCGTTCACCCGCAATTCGTGTTTGAAGTTTTGACTCCGCGATAGTCAGATCCTGTCGGGGACTACCACATTCCCTCTGTCAGTACCCACTTCCGACATCTCGTTCACCCGCAATTCCTATTTTGGTGGATTTTGCGATAAACCCTCCACAAAATAGTACTCAATTTTTGGGACACTTCTCATAGCTCGAGCTTCTATTGGTGACACGAGAAAGAGAAATGCGGTTCGAGCTCTAAGTAAGTTTTAGGCACCCAAAGTCGAGTACCCTTCGAAGACGCGCGCCTTGCAAAAGGTGGTTAATTTCGCCCTTAGGAAAAAAAAACAAAATACCGTCACGTGTACTCGTTTACAAGATCTCTCCGACGACACCAATTCGAAAATAATCGGAATAAAACTGTAGAAGATAGAAACAAGTAAAAAGGTTTTCGCCCTAAGAAGGCGAGTAACTTCAGCGTATTTTCCATGAATGATCAGTACTTCCCAAAAGGCCATAGCTATGTGCGAAATGATTTTCTTTACTAGAGGCATATGCGGTTAAAATTTCAAAGAAATATATTAATAAATAAGAAAGTTGACATTGCGCAGCCTGCGCATGCGCACAACTGATTTTTACTTATGCGATATATTTGCTTTCACCAGAAGTATCTATGGTCATAGTTTCAACAAATATATTAATAAACATGGAAGTTGACATTACGCAGTCTGCGCATGTGCACAACTGATTTTTACTATATGCAATATATTTGCCTTCACCGGAGGTATCTGTGGGTAAAATTTCAAAAAATATATTAATAAATAAGGAAGTTGACATTGCGCAGTTTAATTGTCAAGATTTTCCTTGGCTCAGGTACTAGAGCTATACGCTACCGAATGCAAAAAGAACGAACTTAATATCTTGAAAACTGTAGGAGTCGTTAAGGCTTCGCACAGACGGACGGACAGAGAAAGTGGCTGCAATAGCGCACCCAACTTCGTTGGGAAATGCGCTAAAAACGGAAAAATCACCACGTTCGGACGCTCGAGGATGGTCTCCAGATGTCGCCGACCCCAGATCATGTAACCCCATCTTTAAAGTTGTTAAGTACACGGCCTTGGTAGGTACATGTTCTTCTAGGGGCCGCGTTTGCTGCCAGTCAGCCAGCCAGCCAAAGTGGGATATTAAAAGCTACCATTTTACAATTACATCATTTGCAAAAATGCGCTGACAACAAATTTTGTGTATCCCAAATAGTTAACTCCTCGGTTAACTCAAAACATAACATAAATTCATAAAGAGTGCTAAAAAAATTAAATATTATCAGTCTTTACAGTTGATGGAATTGGATCATCTTCCACCGGCAATCCATAGAGCTTGACAATAGGCCGCACATACTCGTCGTGCGCTGGTTTAACGCATGCTGAGCGTACAAACCCATTTTAACCGGAAAATGTACGTACAATTCGACCTAAATGTTAGAAGTCACAAAAGGGGAGGTCCTCGACAATTATATCTAGGTCACCATCCCGAATATTAAGAACGATACTCACTTGGCCTTCTTGTAAGCCAACAAACATTTCTTACGCCAACGAATATCACAAATCACAAATATCACAAATAAGAAAGTTACTTCTGCGCATGCGCACACGCATCGTTTTACGTGTTTAAATTAATGGATCGATTTGCATTTAGTAAACTTGAAATATCTGTGAGATCGGTCCATAAATAAGAAAGTTACTCCTGCACATGCGCAGAAGGATACGGCCTACCGGTCTGAAAATTAATAAGTGCGTCGTCTTCAAGCGGCAAGTAATACGCCTCCAAAAATGTATTAAATTTGTTGCGACAACGGACAATGGACAATGGACTTTTTTCTGTGATAAAAACAATACTTGACTTACCCAGTATACGAGTATATAAGTGCGGAAAAGTAATAGCCAATAATTTTGCTTTTGTTTTCGTAGCGTTCTTTCAAGACGCTATTAAATTGTATGGTGCGTATACTTCCAAAAAATCTAATTAAATTGTCAGCTTAGGGTAGACTTTAAGTAATAAAATCTTTGAATCGGAACAATGCCAAAGAATTTGATTAATTACTCGCCTTACTACCTCGATATGCGACCGTCAGTCTTCGGATATTGATCTTGGATACAGTCGTGGATGGTCCGGATGCCCCAATATTAAACATTCTTGATCCTCGACTTGAGAAAGTTTCTTTCTTGCACTTTATTTCACATCAAATTTAACTTGCTGATGTTTGAGTGAATTAGTGATCACCATCTATCAATCTGGCTAGAATGACCAAAAATGATTATATACCTCCTTTAGATTAATAAAAATACTGAAGTTAAACGTTTAATATACAAAAAATTAAATTAAATTAAATAAAACGTAAACGGTCCGACCGATACAAGGGACCGAAAACGAATGAATGCCCGAAGAAGAAGAGTTTTATGAGTATTTTATGACACGTGATCTCAAAACATTTGCTAGAAAATCAAAGTGTTATTCGTGGAGATGTAGGAGGTTATTTGCGTTGGTGTGCGGATGGATTAAATGTGATATAAGGGGTCTTTAATCGCAGTGGTTTTAAAAGAAAGAAGTAACGGATACAGTGTATTTAGAATCTGTATTATTAAAATTTATATTTCTACTCATAGGAGCAGTTATAAGCTATCACAAAGTGGTTTTTAATAATACAGCATATACAGCTAATTAAATTGGCGACTTGATAAAAAGTGTATCACAAGCTCTTAATATTTTTTAACAATAACAATTATGAATGTGAAAGTTCATATCTAGCATATTAGAACTAGAAGATAACAAACGATGATGTATTGACAATATTGACATGCTTATGCACAATTTTAAGTTAAAGAGGGTAGTTAATAGTGGCGATATTAACGATAAAAGAGAATTCTGATGTATAGGTAAAGGTATAATAACAGTAATGAAGACATATCGACATTATCGGCCCCGCCCATGTGGAATATTATATCCCTTCAATCCTTTCGCTTTCGTTCTATCATTATCGCCATAAATGCCACAATGACAAAAGGTTGAACAAGTAGACCTGTAATTAGTAGGTAAACGAAATAAACAAATTAACGCTTTAGGTCCACTTCCTGATCACTCACTCAAAATCCCATGTCAGTGGAAAGGACAGCGATAATTTACCAGATTGTGAAAAAATTTACCTACATTACAATAGTTACATAAAAATATTGCCCATATCGAGCGTACAAGTGTACTTTAAAGCATGGCTGATTTTTTTAAAATTATCAAACAACATTTCTACTAAAATGCCCAGTAAACACGATGCTATGTTGAGCAAATCCTTATGTTCCATATTTCCGGAGGATCTATTACTACAAATGACACTTATAAGCGCCAACCATATTATAAATAAAATATTTAACAATTTGCTTTTTATATTTTCTGTAACAATATATTTTAAAACATATTTATATACAGATTTTATTTAGATCGGTGCTCTTATAGATAACGTACATATTTTGCAACACAGAAATATAAAAATATGTGCACCGGCGCTTAAAAGAAATGGTAATTACGATGACGTGAGGATTATATGTAGATATTATTGAAGTGGACGGGTAAAACTATTTATAGTACTAAACTACTTTTTTTTTTAATCAATCGATGCCTAATAGATAATATATAATTTCTCAGGTGTATGGTTTCTAAATTTAGTGCAGCATAATTTTCGTGTGTAATTTAGCCCATTTACAGATAATTCTGTAACTAAGTAGTAGTAGTATTATTGTATCTTATTCGATGATAATTGATGCGTTTGTGCTAACTGAAAATTGTTGCGGATGTAAACCATGTAAAGGTAACATAATCATGGACGTACTTACATACATTTTGCTTAGGACATATACATATAATAGATACTCTTCTTTAGCGTGTATATTTAAAGCAATTTACTAGTGATGTTAAGTTTGCGAACCTGCATTTGCTTGCAGGTTCCGGTACGGTAACATCGTACTCGCAAAATTCTTCAAGCAGAAACACGTAAATTGTATTAGTATTCACTTAATCTCTTCCGTGCTCAATTTGCTTAACAAGCGACAAAGTTTCGTTATGGTTTTTGAAACGTACACTGGAGGACGTGGGGAAAGTCGTCATTATATGTCCGCTATAGGTCCCCCTGATGTCGAAATGCTAGTCGTCATAGTTCTTCCCAGGTTTCTGAAAGTACGCCTAAAAATAGAAAAATGTATAAGTTATTTAATCTTACCCATGCATAGAGACCGAGTTCACCATTCCATCCCCTAAACTTTCTCGACTCATTTCATCTGCCATAGCAACTTTAAGTTGATGGCCAAAACTGGCTAAATCTTCTCTAAAAGCTTCACTGGCGGGGGTAAGTGCTCCACTTGCGGGTGGCAATGAAGTCGTCTCCTGTGCACAGTCACCTTCACCGTCTATACCTTCCGCATTTTTCTCCAACGGCTCTTTGTCTTCGTCGTCATTATAAATTTTAAAATAGGCAAACGTCAGGTATATCACCGATATTATAAAGGACGGGATAGGGATGGCCATCGCGTACACTAGGTTCATATGAACCTGCCACATGTCCAAATGGCTGATAACTATGCCTGGGTCTACGCGACTATAATAGCAGGAATAATTGCTACCTACTTCCTTGTACTGCTTGAGGAAAGTGGAACAGTTGAGCATTGGGGGATAACCACAACCCTTAACATTAGGCATTAACTTAGCCCCAACGTAATACCATTCGGAATCGTTGCCCATTAGACCTGTAGGTTGTGCTTCAAAGATGTCATCTTCTCTGTCTTGTTGCCTATTAAATATTTGTGTATAATCGTATTCGTCACGTAACGCGCGCTGCTTGCGATACGGGTTAACTTCCGTAGCTCCCGAAGAATTTGCGTCGGGGGCGATTTTTTTATAGTTAACACGTATTTGAGTGCAATTATACATTTCTCTTGTACACCCTTCCCGACACGACGACCATGTACAATTATTAGTCCCTCGGCGTCTTTCCGTATTAACAGTCACGCAAAATGCCGGTTTTTCGTCAAATTCCATAAATATAGTGGTAAAAGCGGGGTCGATGACAAAAGGCACAAGGAATAAGAATGAAAATACACTAAAAATGCCGAGTAGGACAAAGAATGCCGTGATATAGAAAAGCATTTTTTGTTTACATGTGCGCTTAACCTTTTTCTCCTCCATGGTCGCGCTGCGGACACGACTCTTAGGCCCAACATCTGCGGCCGCACTCAAGAAGCGCGAGCGGCTGCGGCTGGCTCACTGGTCATACCGCCAGGCCGCACCGCGCGCTCACATTAATTTAAATAGTTTCGATACTAAAGTCCTTTTAGAAATTAGAATTACGCGGTTAATTACATAGTTTTCATTAACAGTCGCGAACAAAATTAATTTAATTGCCAGTTCAATTTCACTCGATGGCACTCGTAAACCAGATGATTGGTCACACGGAGCACATCCATAGTTGGCTATCGATAGACATGGTATTCGAGGCACTGCGGTATATATTTGCCGTATCGATTTTGGCGCCGGTAGCCGTCAGATGACTCGAAGAGCGTCTGCAAGCGGGGCCCCATGTGACGCGAACCTTCAAGTATTGTAATTTAATTTACTCATTCAACTTAATTTTAACGGAGGCCCTTTTAATGTTAAGAACGGCACGCGGTTACGAGTTATTTTCAGAAAACTAATTGTAAGTAAAAATTAGATAATGTGCTCTACGTGTGTAGGTAAGTTGCGCGCGTTATATTGATTAGGCGACGCCGCAGTGAGCTATTGATCAGGGGTAGTGCGCGCGAGTCCCAGCAATACAGCATCAGGTTCAGTAGAAATGTAGTTGCCTAAAACGGCGCGCTAAAATGCCGAAAAAGAAACCAACACCTATCGAGGATCTCATTATCCCGCCACAGGATAATCGAATATGTGGTACGATTTGTCTTTGCCAAATGACTCTAGTTTTGAGCAGTGTGGCGATTGTGTATCTCACGGTCGCCGTTTATGTTCCGTTTACCAAAGCGTTTCAATCGGGAATTATGGAACAACCGGTCATGTGTACCACGACTCGAAATATTTCGGTGGAAACTTGCGATTGGGGTTCCTGTGGGGAATGGTGTCTTAGCAAAACTTCAGGTTCGTGTGTACAAATTTACGTAAACCTTCGACAGAATGGCTCAACGATTTTATTGGTCGATTGCACCAGCACCGCCAATAAGACCTGCTTTGGTATCGACCACGATAGCGCACCAACAAGCCGTTGCATAGCAGACCAATGTAGAAATTTAACTGGCACCTTCAACTGTACCAAAGGTACTTGCATAAATATAACGGACGCTTTCGAGTGCATTTTCAAAGACACCGATACACCTCTCAAGTGTTCAGGGCGAAGAGGCAAAATTACCTGTATCGAACTCGACGGGTTGTACAATTGTAATAGGGGCACGTGCGAAAAAATTAGGACGCCCTATAATTGTGATCGACGATGTGTTGACATTCCCACGCGGAACAAAAATGTTATTGTTTTGAGTGGGGATAAAGTGTATACGTCACAATGCAATCGAGCTCTAGATATGGATACTGGAGAAGAAGTTTGGAATGAGACTCAAAATCAAGTTATGATGGTGTCGTGCTATAACATAGATAACACAAGTCAAGGAGTTGTCGCTATCGATTGTGTAAACGGTTCCCTGATGGCTAATAATATATTAGGTGACCTCACCAATTTCACGTACCTCAGTTACCTCAGCTTATTCAACGTTGAACCTTTGCACAAGGAGAGGCGCGTTGCACCTCCAGAATCGGACCTGCTAATTGCCAACGATAGTAAACTTTTAATTAATTTGGAGGGCTGTGTAAATACCTTACAAGATGAATGCAAAGACTTCTTAAAAGTTTACGGTAAAGATGGCACGGACCATAACGCTCGCGCGCGCTTCCCCTGTTTCTTCGCAGCCGACAATGTAGGAGTTACAGTAGCGCGATTCAATTTAGCAACAACAACTCGTCAGTTTCTAATTGCGTTCATTTTACCATCGATTTTGTTTATAATTTCGTGTCTAACCTTAATATTTTGTCAGCGTACTGTAGTTGTAGGAGATGACGCCAAGATGAGATTTCAGGGTTGCAACGCTCCAGAGGGTACAACGGAGAAGAGCATGTCTAATAACAACATGGCAGATCGAGCTGGTGGAGATTCCATAATGGCACTATAAATCATACATAGTAAGTGATGAAAAAGTAATGAACAAGTTCTGTACGCTCTGTTGTAGGAAATCCTATTGAACGCTGTTGGAAATTCTTCTTTTGGGAAGGGTGCCCTTATCTATAAAGAATTGCACAAGTAAATACGTTGCACTTTCGTAAATCCGCTTGTTTAGAATGACGTTAAAACAAGTTACGCTCATCTCTCTCGCTGAAACTGCTAAATTTTACACCTCGTTATGTTTGGGCACCGTAGCTTTTCTCTCGGTATTTGCTTTTTTGTTTCTGATTCCGTTCGTAGTTGATCCGGCCATAAATAGTTTATTAGCGGACTACGAACCTGAACCCGTCACTTGTGTCGCAACTGAGCACGTGTACGCGGAAGGTATGCGAAATTGCTCCTGGGCGTCGTGTCGGGAAGGCTGTACTCGCGAAGCAACTCGCTGCCACCAGATATTGGTAAATTACTCCAGACTACCGTTTCGAGATTGGAGACCTACCGCATCTTTTCACTGGGACGTCGCAGATACGCGCTTTCTCATAAACGCCGAAGGTTGCGGATATCCTCCTTCGGTGAATTGCTCAGAATTTTCGCGGCAATACGGGTACCAAACGGCCGGAACCCCATTTCCGTGTTACTACAGCCGTGCCTACCCCGAAATGGTGATAGCGAGATACTCCTGGGATGATACTCTGCGCCACTTAGTATTGTCCATTGCCATTCCTAATCTACTGTTTGCAGCATCAATTGGACTACTCAGCTATTGGTACTGTCCCGGTTGCGGACGTGCTTGTCACAAATACGTCCATCATTTTCCAGATGAGTACGTGGATCCTTTTAGATCTCCTTTTACTAATTCTTGTGTTTTAGCGATGAAGATTACGACGATGATCCATATTAATTCATTACTCGCTTAGTTTTAATGAATTTTGCAAATTCGTGTTAATAGGATTAGGAGCACCTTAATAACATCAGCTTGTGCAATATACCATACCTACACTTATGCATGGATTTTATTGTTATTGCTACAATTTTCTCTTTACATAGTGTTCAAATTTTATAAAATAAAAATTTTGTTATAATTAATTCGTGTGTTTTTTTGGAATATCTGCGGGAGTATCGATTAAAAGAAAATTGTGGAAAGGCGCTGGCGTATAAATAAGACGCTTGCGCTTGAACGCCTATTGACGCCCTCGTCCTCATAATCGTTGCTTGTGTTTACGTTGCCCCTTCGTCCACATGTAGTGGCATTGGAGTAAACTGTGCATTCATCACACCGTGCCTTTTCCTGAAGGATGGGACGTCGTAATAAGTGCAAACCTCGACTTATACCTCAACAGGACAAACGAATATGCGGTAGTATCTGTTTTTGTCAGTTAATGGTGGTTATAAGTTGTGTATCGCTTATTTACTTAACAGTGGCCATTTATATACCCGCCTATCGAACATTTAATTCCGGTTTTGAATTGACTCCTGTAATGTGCCAAACTATTAATACTAGCATGATGAATAACTGCAGTTGGGCCTCTTGTGGAGAATGGTGCCTGACGAAGACTTCGGGATTTTGTCCACAAATTCATGTAACAACGCGGCAAAATGGAACAACGTTGCAATTGCAGATGTGTACGAATATCAGCTCCGTGTCTTGCCCAGAAGTAAATCCCGAAACTCTAAAAGTATACAACTGTAATAATGGGAGTGAATGCAGCACCCTTACCGGGTTTTTTAATTGTTCAAAAGGTCACTGCAGCAACATGTCTCCGGCATACTTATGCCATTATAAGGCTGATGGGGTAATCATAGATAGTGATAAGGACAATATAAAATTGAATGGGTTTTTCGAGTGCAAGGATTCGCGGTGTACCAAAGTGAAACGTGCGTTTAGTTGTGATAGGTTCTGCGACCATATAAATACGACTGGAATTAATGTTTATATTAACATTTACGAGACTTTGCATCTTGCTAACTGCAAGGAAGCAGTTGCAACCACCGCGACCAATGGTAAAGAAGATGGATACCCTATCGAATCCACGACAGTTTGGAAACAAACTTCTGAGGACGATGTAGTTATGATTTCCTGCTATAGCATGGTAGCCGAAGGAGAAACCCTAAAGTAATAAACGACAGGTTTTTATACAGTTTGCTTATTCTTATTTTTTAGCTTAACAGACTGCATTAATGGAACCATATTTAAATATGCCGATATTCCGAAACCCGAAATCAATTTTACCACTTTTTGGGCGCTTTCTGAGAAATATAAAGGATATATTGACACAACCCAAAAGTTTCTGCCCATGCAGTCAAATATCACGATTTATAACTCTTCCTATCTACATATTAACTTAGATGGATGCGTCAACACGTTGCGAGGAGAGTGTAAAGATTTTTTACATACGCACGGAAGAGATGGAAGAAACCAAACCGCATCCTCTCGATTTCCCTGTTTCTATAAAAAGGTGAGAAAATGACATCCTTGAATCGTTTTTAAACGTAAGTGTTTCAGAATGATTCCTCTTTAGTGCTGGCCCGTCACGATCTTAACAAAACATGGCACGATCTTATTATTGCACTTAGCGTTCCATCCGTCGTGTTTATAATCTCCTTTATAAGTTTGTGCACAATTATGCAAACCGTAAAGGTTGGAGATGACACGAAAATGAGATGCAAGTACTGTATGGGGAAGAATGATTGTGAACAATCGGAGGTGATGATCGCGAATAGCAAATACGAGATGTCATCTCCAGATGAACCTTTAAGAAAAGACGAAACTCCATTAATTAGAACTTAATAATTTCGCATAGAAACTTCCGTTAGTTCACTATTTTTCTTCCTTCCTTAGTTTTTTACCGACACAGAGTGGAATTAAGTATAAATTACCTCTAAACAGGAGGCGCTTCCATATTTTTGATAAACGCTCTGTTGCAAAAATCGTTTAGTTATTAAAAAAAATGGTTGCTCAGGAAGACTGCATTAATGGAATTTCTCTCGTCCTTATGAAGTTACAAACGTCCAATGAATTAGAGAAAAATGTCTAATTATTTCACAAATTAAACACATTTGACGATGATTAATGATACCACATCAATTACGTAAATTAACTATCGATTTATAATCAAGAAACGGAGAGCTTTGCCCATGTTTGTTCGTCAATTTTCTACGTACTGCGACGTTATTGCGTTTCTTACGTATATCCATCTATCGATATTTTCATTATGTGCATTTTAATTAAAAAGACCACATAAATGCCTTTACAACACCAATTTCGCATATCTACAATATTTGACATGACTTTTTAACTTTTGCGATTATTATCATGTGCAATGCAGTTCTCGTTGAAACCATATCAGCGACCATTAATTCTAAATCTAGCGCAATACTAGACTAGACCTCTAAATTTGCATTCTAATGAGATTCATTAGACACCTGAAAAGTGACTTACCAACCTAATGTGCTTTTCGGGACCATTCCTAATCACAATGAATTAATTCTAAACGTGGAAATAGACAATATTTCAAATTTAAAAACCGAAATATCTGTTACAGCCATTGGCCTGACAGTATTAATGTTTCACCTTTTGACCAAATACTGTGAGCTTATTTATGTGTACTCTGCATCTGTAATGCTAAAAGAAACTTTGATCGTAATAAATGTCTTATAATTGTGCCTTCGGTAGTGTTGCAAGTATAGGTAATGAAAACTATTTACAATTATTTATTTTGGTATGACTATCTTACGCTTAAATATTAAAAGTGCTATGTGTGCAAACACCAAATAATTAACGTAGATTAGAAAATTACGAATGAAGAAAATTAGATATACCAATATATTTACAATGAGAATAATGTGTATACTTGTCCATTATCATTGTAGCACCTTTTACACACTTAGTTTAGATAGTTAGTCAAGACCAACGTTTGATTCGTGTTTCCTCCGAAACTCATTTCGTATCAGTGCCGAGAAGGCCACTTACTTTGATATCTAAAATGTGGTAATTGGTGGGGCCAAGTATTTTTTTTTAATTTTTAAGGGTTTGTCTGAACCAATGCTTCATGTCTTCATTCGGAATGTCGATTTTGTTGCATATTTGTTGTTATTCGTCCTCAGTTATTGCAATTTTGCTCAAAATATGTTAAGATATTAAATGTAGTCTAACAATTTCTATTATAAATAAGATGTTAATGTTCAAATATTTACTAAGCAGGTGTTTTTATTATGTAAATGTTTAAATGTATTGTCGTTAATAAAATGAGAAAAGATGGAAAAAATTCCTATTTCATTTATCCTTGGCAACATTATTCACACCTATTTTATTAAATAAATAAACGCTATGACTTTTTTGTTTTCATTTTCGAATAGTTCCAATAGTACGCAATAAAAACAATTTATAGATAAAAGAAAATTAGAAGTCATCACCCCAAAATGATACCTTACTAATATATTATCCACATAATGGTCTACAATTTTGTTGCACAGTAGTAACGATTGAATATTTACAAAAATGGTTACTAATCGAATAATTGAACCTACTACGTTTCAAGTTGCATTCCTCAATGACAGTCAAAATGTTAGATAAAAATATAGCTAGAGGGACAGAATTAGAAAACCCTAGGAGAATAAACAAATTAGCTCAATGTTGCGAATAAGAGTGCTTTGCGACATATTATCAATATGTTTATTCATTTCTCGATACGCAACGTAAAAATGAATGAATGCATATACAGGGTGTCCAATTAGTGCGTGCGGTATCGGATGCAGGCCCGTAGCCAGGTGGCAGACAATTTTCTTTATATTCTTTTTATTATTATCTTATTATTATATTATTAACATTTGATGTGTCAATTATCATTGGAGGTTTAAATGTATCCTCGCCAGGAGAGAAAAAGTTCGAATAATGTCGCAGAGCTCACATTATAATATACCCGCTATCGGCAAACTGGCCGATAGGCAACACACAATACAAATTCTCCTAAATATTGTTTTCCCTTTGTGAGTACTATACCCTCAAACATTTTTGAGATATTAACAATTAAGTTTTCACATCGCCAGGAGATGCGTTTCGTTTAGGCCATGATTCCGCCCTTTTAGAGTACCTTCCTCCGACACTCCGTTCTGCAGATATTTGCACTGAAAGTTTTGTCTTCACCAGTGGTTGTATCTCGTCCAGACGTTCTACTTGTCCTTTATGAATACCCTCTTCCAGCACTTCATTTTCAAGATATTTTCTTTAACTTGAGCAGTGGATATGGATTTGTTGACACCTGCAAGACGTGATTTATTTCTTATTTCAACAGTTACAGGGGCAGCGAAAACCTCAACGCAAATCTGGTGCGTTACGTACGTGACTCCCGCTCAGACGTGTGTACTCGAAGTTCACTGCCTGGTGCGTCATGTGCAGACATCCAAAGTCATGCTTATTCAGAGATATGTTTCCCGAATCCAAAAGCTCCATAAGCCCAGAGCTTGGAAAATGTTTCCAGGAGACATGTGAGACCCTCACTCGCGATAAACGTATATCGGCCGCGTGGAGAGCCCCAGTGCCCCCACTCTTTTGCACCACGGAAGGAAAAGGAGTCCAACGTCAGATCGATAACTTCCTGCCTAGGTACACCAGAAGGTGGTCGCCCGTCGAGTTTGTATCAGTGCTGCCCCACGCAACATGCTGTGCGTTTGCATCACAGCCAACCACAAGAACGAGCCCACCATTTTGACAGTACTCTATCGACATAAATGCAAGTCCTAGGGTTTACTGGGGTGTCCCTCTTATACCATGCGATCAAAAATGAGTTGTTGTCGAGTGACCTTTGGAATTTTTGTTTACATGGGAAATCGTACTTAACTTAAACTTCCAAAGGCGGCTCGACAGCAACTCATTTTTGATCGCCCGTTAATAAGGTCCTCCACCTGACCCAGACGTCTTACTCGTCCCCTGTAAATCCAAGGTTCTTGTATGATGCATACGTCTGTCTGCTTTACAGCATTTTGCCGGCATATTGAACAAGTCGACCCCTTACTGTGCTGCAAATTGCTCTGTAAGAAGGTTATCTAGTCCATCGGATTGATGTACTAGGTTTTCCCTCCTTCCCCAGTGATACCAAGAACCGCCACACGAGCAAAACCGAAAGCGAAAGCAAATCCCGACTTCCCATGGAGGTCGATAACGACGGAATGGGCCCCTTCCGTCGCACCTGAACTGGGTCTCGCTGTTCCGGTGGAGCCCTTTTCCTTACTTACCTTCAGCAGCCGGAGCACTCGCTCTCGTCACAAATGGGACGTGCGAGACCCCCACGTTCGCTTGTAAGTTCTGGCGCTGGCGTGCTTGATAGGATACCTCATCGGCACCAAAATGCGAAGAGGACCCTACCAACTGCTTCCTGCGGAAGAACGTCCTCCATAACCTGGTCCTGAAACCAGGGTTTTGTTTCTGGAGGCGCTTTAAGATGGCGGCCGTGTCATCTGGGAGCCCGTATAACATAGCCAGGATTCCATCGGAACCCTGCCAGCCAAGAGAAGGGTCCCCCACCATCTCGCCAACAACTGCATTCAATGCAGCCATAATGCACCTCGACTGTAGTTCAGAGATGTCCACCTCCGGGTGCGACACCGGAACAATGGCCACCCTGAGCGCAGTCGCAGCGATTTGCGCATAGGTTCGTTGTGCACCCGTAACTTTAGGTGCTCCAGAACATTTGGGTTTTTTTTTAGGCTGCCCTGAAGCAAACCCTGGAGCACTTTCCTCCGATCTGAAACACTTGGTACCTGACGTCGGGTTGAGCCAACGACCCAGACACAGCCTTAGGCTCTGGCTCGCTCGACCCAAGGTTTTACCCTCGCGCCGGCGCTTCTTGGAGCTCATCACCAGGTCCTGCGATGGAGCCGTCTCCTTTTTCGTGGAGAGTGTCCGTTAGTAGACCCCTTGCGGGCCCGGATTGGTACACCCCCCCCCCTCCTCCCAGCTAACAAAAATTAAGAATGTACAGGGTGTGTTTTTTAGAGCTACAAGAATCTATGAATGGAAAAACTAATCAGGATAACATTCTGCATAACTTTGCCTATTTGTGCGACTTGATACCTTTTACGGATCACGAGATCCCTATAGTGAAAGTGAAAAAAAAACTCACCCTGTATGTAGACCTTCCCAAAAATTAACGATTTCATTCCTATACCATATTGTTGCATTCATCAGGGACGTCAAAGTGTTTTTGGTTCATGTTCAAATGAAAGGAAGTATATTTATGTAGGTACCTTGTTTGCGAAGTGAATCACAAACGTTACGTTTTTTGTATACGCAAAACAATTACAAATCGAGATAATGAATTTGTTTACGGTTCATTACAAATTGTTGTATACTAACATTAACTTTATGCCTGTGAATAATATCACAAAAAATGATACTATAAGGTAGGTAAAAATTGACTCATTTTTCTTGATGGTAGAGGGTAGAGACATCTACGTTTTACAATTTAAAGTATTGAAAACCATTACAATTCTTGCCATAGACCGACGCTTCTGATAAAATCAATAGCGGAAGTTTCGAACATTTCACCTGTGGCATCATCTGAAAGCATTTTCCAATATAAAAGGAAATTGATTTAGATTGCAGATTTAGGTTGCGTAACCTACACTCTACAGGATTCTACCGCACCTCGGCGGTGAAGCAAAATCCAATATTGTAGTTACCATTATATTCCAGCTAGCATTGAAAATAATACACAGGCAGATGGCGCCTAACTTTCCTCGTTGAATTATATTTCACTTCGCACAAAGGGTACTAACGTGTTTCTAAACAATTAAGCATACTGTTCGAATAGTTATGGATCAATAAATAGGTGGTAAAACACAATATTTATATAACGATTGGTGCTAATTGGTTAGAAGATTAAACGTTAAATACCAATTATTTGGGATAACAACCTGCATTGGAAAAGTAATCCAATATAATAATAGCGGTCATTAGTTCTAAATGTTAGATCCAATTAAAACTAAACGTGCTTAGAATTTTGGAAATAAAACCATGCGCCACCAACTGTCAATACATAATCCCTTAAAGTATAATATCGCACTAATTAGTCTGTTAAAAATCTGCAAAAAGTGATTTAGTAAAGTTTGAATTTGTTGCCTACCGAGGCGCTCTTTACTAATTAAAAAAGTAAAACGTACAATTTTAATTACTACTCAATTTGCAGATTGAATAATGAATTTAGGGAATAACCGAAACTAAAACGTGATAGCCTACAGGGAATTCTGTACATTGTATTTCACCCTCAGCACATCTATAGGGGAGTATATTGACAAACCATTAAACAATAAACACGGATAGAACAAATTAATAAATTAATTACTTAATTTAAATTAACGTACAGGAATCTTTCCAAATTCGATTTGTTAATTGATATATGTAATTAAACAATCAGAGTGCATATTACTCCAGACAAGAATGGACCTTTTTAATCATTGTAACATTTCCTATACCGCTTCAATAAAATTTCCGCCGCGAGTCGGTTACTACGAAAATTCAAAACGTAGGACAAAGGATTGCTGCAACGCTAGTGGCGCCCGTCGTCGCGACGTCATCCGTTTTATACTGACCATTGATATTAAAACATGGTCCAGTAATTTGTGTTTCCATTCCACTTTAAAATGTGCTCGGATTTCAAGTTATTTGCTTGCATTTCGGAGCTGTTTTAAGGATTAAATAAATTTCTCAGTTTTTTAAACGCCCCGTACACGTTAAATATACTTGCACAATATTTAGTGGAATCTATAAAACCCTTCGCAACTTTGCCATAAAACTTGGGCGATTTGTATTCAGCGCCATCCCTTAAGTGTTTGTTATCCCGTCTTAACTCACTTTATTGCTCACGTTGTACGTATGTAAGTGTGTTGTAAGGGAAGACACAGATTATTTCTAGGACAATGCAAGTCGCAGTCTATTGTGTTTGGTTTATATTTAAAATTAATTATGGTTTTATGGTTTACAGATTTTGGAATGTTTTTTTTTATTAATTAGCCCTATCGGGATTGATGCCCATGTGGCTAACAGGAATGGAAACAAAATGACAAGGATGACACTCTTCACTCCATGCGGTCTTTCATGGAGACTTTTAATCAGAACAGTGCGGTTTTAATCGGTGACGTGTATATATTAATTGACATTAACGCTTAGCACATTATAAACCAGTTCCACATTCCCACCGACGCTTCTTGATTTGGAGAATATGGAACATCCCTCTCCAAGGGCAAATGGGTTTTAGT